TTTCCCAACAATCTTTCCAGTGTTCATCAGACAGATCTAAGCCACCATTGTATAGATAAATGGTGGCTTAGATCTGTCTGATGAACACTGGAAAGATTGTTGGGAAAAACATCTTGAAGAAATAACAAACTCTAATAGAAAGAAATCTTGCGAATTACCATTGTATAAAAGCACAGAAGTCAATCAATCCGAACTCAAAAGCTCAGAAAATCATAAATTAACAGAAACAAAAAATAAAATATTTAGAAATGCTGCAATTATGGGTCTAGTGAATACCAAGAAGATATCATTAGAAGATCTAATTAAGTCAAATAACAAAAGTTGTGCAAGAGAAGAAGACAGACTGAGAACTTTGGTAAATATCAAAAATTAACATATTTTATATATTACTATATATAATATATATTTACAGGTTATGACTAAATTATTTAAAAAATTAACATTCTCATTTTCTGTAAGGATACATACTAAATTATTAAAAAAATAAACATTCTCATTTTCTGTAAGGATACAAAGATTGATGATGAACATCAAATAGAGTTTGTTCCTCATGCTGAAGATCCTGAAGTTTACATTCATCCTTTGCGAATGGGAGTAAATGTAAAAAGATTCAAAAACATTGATTTTACTGTTCCACGTGTCGGCAAGAAGATAAAAGAGGCGCCCCAACAATATTTTCTTCGAACAACTACCGATGATTCATTTAAGTTTGTGAAAAAAGACAAAAGTACAATGTAGTTGAAAAACGAGATCGTATTTTGTTATAATGAATATCACATAAAAGCACAAGCATATATATTTTTTATACATAAATATTTATATGAAAATATATATTGATTTCGTTTTAATTATGATAAATTTTGTTAGACTAAATAAGTTTTCAAGTCTCTCAAGATTACGAAATTCGAGATTAATGATAAAAATATTTCTAGATTCATGAAATATTTGCGTTGCTTAGTTTTTTTTTATTATTAATCTATGTTCTAAGCGTCAGCATATAATTACTTACTATAACTTATACAAATTATTTTCAAATTAAATTATGAAGCGATCATTTTTACGATCATTCACGTTTTATATTGTGAAATGATTTATATTGTTATGTAATTTTCATTTAAATATATGTTCTTATTGAATTCATTACAGAACATTAAAAAATAATGGGTCTCGAAATGAGAGCCAAAAATATTCTCAGCAAGAAATATCCTCAATGTTTTATTTGGATATAAATATGTTCTCTAATGAAAACAA